GGGCCCGGGACCGGCCACAGGGAGGGGGGGCGGCCCAGCCAGCCTCAGGGCCCGTGGTCAGGGAGGAGGATAGTGGGCGGGAGCGGGGGTCTCAGTGCCTGTCCCTCTCCCCACAGCTCCCTCGCACTGGCTGACCTCGAGCCGGAGCTGCGTGCCAGCATCGTGGCCAAGCACGGCGACAAAGTGCCGTACGTCTATTTTAACAAGGGATTGTGAACGGAGACTACCCTGGGAGCCATCGCACCCCTCCAGCCCCCACCACTGCCAGCCCTGTGGGCCCCGTGCAGGGCGCAGTGGCCCGGTCCAGCTGGATTGGGTCGAGGCCCGGCCTTGGGGTCAGCACCGTCTCTGCTCCCTCCCCTGGAGAGACCCTGTCCCGGGAAGGGGCGCTCCAGGCAGTGCAGGGTGCTGTGCCTGGCTTCGACCAACCCCCCTCTCATTGCGGGGCCTCTCCATCCTCCGCGTACGTCCAGGAGGGTCTCCGGCCTCCGTCACCCCTGGAAGAGGCAGGACCGTGGCTCTGCATGCCCAGGTCGTGGCTGGCGCGTTGACTTGTCCTAAGCTTCCTTCCATGTGATGCTGGCCCTTTCCCTGCATCCCTGCGTCCCGCTCAGCCCGGGCGACCGCTGCCCTCCCGTGCCTCCCTCCTGGCCCTGCCACCTTGTGCAGGAGGGGTCTGCCCAGCCTGTTTGAGCCTCGCGCGGGTCGCAGGTGCCAGGCCCTCTCCTCCTGTGCTCAGAGCACAGTCCTACCTCCGAACGCAGGCGTCACTCCGTCACCTGCCTCCGGTACCAGGAACCAAACCACGATGCTGCCTCAAATCACTACAGTGGCCTTTCTCCAAGAGCTGCATTCCCACTTGGCAGGAAGGAAGGGACCTGTCCCCTCTGCAGAGGGAGCACACCAATGTCCTCGGACCAATGCTTGGACCATTTCTCCCTTGCTATCACGTTCAGATTTCATTCACTTTGCAATTTCCACAATCAAGGAGAGAAATACCTGATTGTTTTTAAGCTCTGATTTTTGTAATCTAGCCTTTCCTCTGAGCACCAGAGCCAGCCATCACCCCTGCTGTCCTGTGTCTCACTGTCCCCAGGGTGGCACCAAGGACCTGCAGCCTTGGGAGACAGTCAACTCTGGGCCCCCCTGCAAGGGGGGAAGGAGACACCAGGGAAGTCACAAAGCAGTCAGGGTGTTAACTCAGGCTCTGAACAGGCAACTCTGCAAACGCTAGAGGGGAGGGATGAAAAATAAAATGCAATGTTTTTTAAAATCAGTTGCTGGCTCTGCCTTTGGCTGGTCTTAGGGGTCCAGTCCTTAGACAGGGCTGGCAGATAGGTCTCATGCCTTCCTAGGAAGGGGAGCCCAGGGATAGGTGTGGGCACTGTCTTTGACCAAGCACCGGGGGGAGAGTCAGCCCAGCAGCCAGGAGAGAGGAGGAAGAGCCACGCAGCTCTGCAAGGGCTGGCATCAGCCCTGAAACCCTTGGGCATCCCATACAGCCTTCCCAGAGAGGCTCGCTGTGCTGCAAATCGTCCTCTGGCAGGGGACAAGGGGAGGTGTCAGTGCTGGGCTCAGGGGGGCTCCTTGTCCCATGGGAGCTGTTTGTCTTCACCAAGCATGCAGGAGCCAAACTGGGACCGTCAGTGTCTGCATGATGCTAACCTGGATCTGCCCACCTGCCCTCTCCCATCCCCAAAGAAGAGAGGGTTGAGTTGGCTGCAGCCTATTTTAGAAGGAGGAAGGGTCCCTGGCACTTAGCCCCAGCCCTGGCTGGTCACCCTACTCTAAGCCAGCAGCATCCAGACTCTGCTTGCTGGTGAATGGCCCCCAGTGGGACAAGCATGTTTCCATATGGAGCATGGCAACTGTATGCACGTGGCTGCCCAGAGAGCTCCGTGGCCCAGCAGATGGTCCTCATTCGTCCTTCCAGCTGGGAGTACGTGTCCCATCGCAGAGAGCAGCAGCGTCCCAGCTTCAGCATGATGCCCTAGTGGAGGCCGAGTATCTGTAACCAAAGGGTTTTCTGGTGTTAACTGTTCCTCCTCCACAAAGAGAGCAGCTGAACCCAAAATACACTTCTTAGAGGGCCAGGCTGTATCTGCAGCAGGTTTGATTCTGTCTGAGCTGCAACAGGCAGAGGATGATGTCTCTAAGCACATATAGCCGCAGCTGCAAAACCGCACAAAAGCTCTGAAATAATTAATAGGTTAGTGAAAAGTGGAAAAACAGGTTCAAATTTGTGTGTCTGTTCCCTGGGCATTATTAGATCTCTTGTTAAGGCATAATTTAAAAAAACAACAGATAAGCCCCTGAAATGAAACAGATGTCACTCCTATTGGGAGTGGGAGGAGGCCACAAGGAGAGATCTCTGCTGTCTGCCTTTCTTCAGTTCCTTAATTCAAGTTTCTCTTTCTCTACAGCTAAAATCATGTTGAGCACTTTCAGAAAGGTACCTGGAGCAGCCCGGGCCATGCTAGGGTCCAAGGAGACTCTGACATGCTCAGGAACAAGGCGATTCCTGTAACATGATGTGCCACAGTTCTGTAAAAGTGCTCTTCCCACGTGCACCCCGGCCGTGCCCTTGCCATTGGCCTCTTCCCATGTTTGCAGTGCATGTCGGGAGGTCCGGCCCCTGCCCCGGAGAGGTGCATGCCAGAGATGCCAGGGCAGCACCCACCCGAAGCAAAGGCAGGGAGCACAATGGCAAAGCCTCCCTGGTTTTGGCAGTCCTTCGTTTTGACCTGGTAGTGTTTTGCTCCACCAGAAAGTGAGGCTGGAGGGGCAAACGCAGGGCTCAGAAGAGAAAGGGTTGCCAGTTGCCACCTGGCAGTAGTTTTACAGTGCTGGCTGAGCTTGGGGAAAGCTGCAGCTCCCGTGTGCTCCCCGGGAGCCTGTTCCCGAGGCAGAGCGTGGTGAGAGGCAACTGCAGACCATGTCCCGCTCCCAGGTCAGCTCTGCGTTTCCTGGGGGGCTCCAGCAGTCGTCCTGGCCACCAGTCCAGATGACGGCTGTGCCCTGGTCTGTGTCAAACTGGATCAAGACTTCTTAGCTGCATTGTGGCCAGCTTTCCCTGGACACCTTCCTGCCTGGACTGGGCATCTGGAGATGTGGGATCTAGGCCCTTCGAGCAGCAGACAAACAGGCATCTTCTGCTGCAGCGTGGGTTATAGCAGAGGTGCCAGTATTTTTGCTTTCTCCTCTTCCTCCTGTTGCTTTGCTTTTCCTGGGGCACCAGCCTCGGGGGGTTGTTAGACATGCCCTGCACTGGGGATAAAGTCTCCAGGATTTGGCTGAGGGCCCTGTGCCTCTCAGGGAAATGCCCCCAGACCTTGCAGCACAGCTGGGCGTCCCTCTCCCAGCCAGCAGCACAGGGCCACACTTCCAGCAGGAGCTCTGGGAGGTGCTGGGGTGGCTGAGCTCTGCGCTAGGGAGGGCAGGTTTTGAATCCTCCCTGATACAATGGGCATGGGCTCTGCTGGTGAATCGTAGCCCCTGGCTATACTGGAGTGGCGATGGAGCAGGGAGACTCTCTGAAGAACTGTTACCATCTCATGCCCATGAAGTACTCCCAGCTGCCTCCCGGGCCTGGTTCTCCGAGGCATGTCGGTATTGCTCATCACTCTGGCCAAAGGAAGAGAGTTGCACTGGGCTCAGAAGATGAGGAAGTTGACCAGCACCATCCCAGAGACAGAAAAAAACCCAGCACTTGTAGCAGTGCATTCTCTCTCCTATGTGGATTTATGCCAATGACAATTTAGTTCAGTGGGTTTCTAGGTTGTAGCTGGACTCTCCCCTGGAAAATTCAAGTCATCTCATCAGCTCATGATGTTCTGGCATCAGGAGATGGCTGCTGCACTGGGTGTCTACTTGTGCTCCTCATGCTCTAAAATTCCCCAGCCTGCCATGGCCCTGCTGGGAAGGAAGGTGTCGCAAGTCAGGCCACAGTCTGCAAGTCCCTGTGCTGCACCAAAATGAGCCATGGCCCTATCTTCAGCCCAGCTCTGCTGTCACGCCTCTGCTCTTGCCCATGTCACTTTGGATAGCTCTGCTTCCCTTTCTCAGCACTGCAACAGGAAGGAAACCTCATTGCCAGTGATCAAAGCTGGACTCATCCCTGTTTGTAAAGAGCTGCAAGTGTTAATTACTCTCCAGCGATGAGTCACGCCTGATCTGGGCTCGTCCCATGGTCTCATGTGTTTGCCTCCTTCTCCCTGCTGTGCCTTTAATTTCAGGGCTAGCTGGGAACAGGAATAAAGATCCTTTAATAACTGAGCCTGGCTGAAATGTCAGTGCTCCAGCATGTTTACAGCCTCTTTTGAAATAGTAATGAGACCAAAGATGTCTCACTGGGCTGCAGCAGGGCCCAGAGATGGGCTACGGGAACCTGTGAGCCTGTGGGTCTCCTCTGATGAATCACCAGCCCCAGCAGGTAGACCTAGTTCATCCTTCCTTCTCCAAATGCTTGTGGAGGTTGATTAACCTGTCTCCCTACAGAAAGAAGAGCGAGCAGTGTGCCTGCGTAATGGGTTAACTCCTGCAGGCCCACACTGCTGTCAGCGGCGGCGTGATGCTGCTTCAGCAGGGTAAGGTGTGTCCCAAGTATTGCCCTGATTGGAAAATCCCAGTGGTAGGAGATAAGCCGCTAAGTTGATTACATTTTTCTGGCTTTTCTGAACATGTTATCTGAGCATCTGACAAACCTCATCGTGCCAATCCCCAGTGGAGGCTGTCTGACACGCAAGGAACAAAGCCTGTATTGCTACCCAAGAAACATGAGACATTTCCTCCAAGCTGTGAATTAAACTCAAGTCTCCTGCACCTCCTCTTCCTCTCACTGCCCAGAGACAAGCCTGGACGATGGACGGCTGTGGCCGGGACATGCTGTGCCAAGATTGCGGGGTGGATGGGAGAACTTCTCAATGTCTTGCACTCCTTGCAGGATGGCCCCCTGGAGCAGCCACTGCTCTCTGTCGCAGTTTCTTCCAGGGGTTGTTTTCCAGTAGCCCTCACCCCTGCTGTCTGTTGTGTCCAGCACACACAGATATGTGAGGATAGGGGAATATTAGCCAAGCAATGGCTGGGTTCAGACCTAAGCACGATGCAGCTTCTGGAGCACCCTGCTGGAAGCTGGCTCCAACACCGGGAGACATTTGCTGCTGCTTTTCTTGCTAAAAGCACCTTTTAGAGCCCGTTAGTAACATTTTCATCTCTGAGAAGGCTGTGTGTTTGCTCAGTGCAGAGAGAAAGCACTTTATTATGAACCTGAGTGAAAGTAACTGGTCTTAGAGCTTGCGCAGCACTTTCTGAACTGGCCCTTTGACACAAACCCCTGCACAGACCCAAACTCCACCACAGCACAGCGCTTCTTCCCAAGGCCGAATATATGCTCTCACGCTTCAAGGAAAAAAGAAGTGGAGGAAGACTGTGCATACCCCTCTTTGGCTGGGGTGCTGAGCCCACACGATGCTCAGGCTATGCCAGTCTGTGCAGGTCTGCGGCTGCACTAGCCTGGCAGATATTAAGCCTTGGCCGTGAACGAAGCTCTTCCATCACAGCTGGCAGAGCGTGAGCCCAGGGAGCCCCAGGGCGGCCGGGGACAGGAGGATGCGATGTTTCCCCACCTTGTTGGAGGAGGCTTGGTCCAGACCCTTAATCCAAGATATGGCCGTTGACGTCCCCTCCATCCCAGCAGGCTCTAGCTCGCTCGGCTCAGGAGAACCGAGGAGAGCGACGGAGAGGAGGACAAAGTCTCTTTGGCAGGTGCCACCGCTGCTGCTTCCCCTCTCCCAGCAGTGCCAGTTCACAAGTCCTAACGTGGTGAGTCCTGGCGCAACATCCTGGCACGGTACCACGATAAAGATGCACAGACTTTGTGTTTTGCTTCCCTGTTATCAGTGAGTTGAACAAACACTCCAGCCGCAGGGAATGACATGCTCTTTTGTATTTTTACCCAAAACAAGAGTGTGTTCAAGTCTGGGTGAACCAGCAGTCAGAAACACTGAATCTTTGGAATTTTACCTCAACAAAGCAACAAACACAAAAAATCCAAACTATTCAAGTGCGGAAATTTCACTGGATAGCATCCCGCACAGATACAGTACCCAAAATGCGAGCACCCATGCAAAACTGCAGGTAGGAACTGTCCAGCCCAGGCAGGGACGGCCATGTGCCCAGGATTGCCTGTCCCGTGGCTGGTCCCGTGACGGAGTTACTGTTTGCTGTTGAGTCTTTGACTTGGCAGGTGCTGGCAGAAGGATGTGACGGGCCCGGCGC